AAATAGTTTACAACAACACTAATCTAAAACAAAGCCTATGAGCAGTGGAAAAGAAAGGAGACAATATTTTTAGATACAAAGAGGATGATAAATAGATATATAGAATTTTTTTTAGAAACATATTTCTCTTAGTAAATAAAATTAGACACGTTGATTTATATATGTAGGTGATGTATGGTATTTAAATGGAATTTGGTAAATAAGATTGAAAAAACCTTCATTATAAAATAAATAAATAAATAAAGATGGGGAGTGGCTTATTGTGAGAATTAAGAATCCATAATACCTTTTTTTTAAAAAAAAAGTTTAATAATAATTGAGCATTTAGGTCTAGTGTTTTTCGCAATAAGTTTCATTTAGTTAATATATGTTACTAAATAATCTATTCATATTATGACTATACTAATACAATATCTAATAATTTAATAAAATAAAAACATAATTTGTAAAAAAAATATTATTATATAACAAAAGTGTAGAGGTATACCTATTGAATAATAAAATTTTAATATTTAAGTAAATTAGTTATTGCATTTATGTTGTAGTTGTTTATATATTTCTATGTAGGAATAGTGTGTGTGTGTGTTCTTCACACATCAAATTTTAATTAACTAAAAATTATACATATGATGGAAATTATTTATCTGTTAACATACTGCAATATTTCTTTGATTACCAGGCCTTTCCATCCAAAATTAAACATGAGTCCACCCTGAATGCAACTAACCCAAAAAGGACCCAATGCTTTCATCTGATTTTAATTTTCTGGCCCAAAATATATAAAAGTCCAAAAAGAGAAAGCCTATTCCACACTCCAAAACTGACCAATATTTTTTAGTTTCTCTTGAGACCCATTCGTCCTTCTTTATGCTGTGATGTATAGAGCTCAAATTTGTAACTATGGAATCCAATTAACACAAAAAATTTGAATTTGTTTCTAACAAGATGTCATAGTTATCTATGTCTCCCGTCTGAATCGCTTAAAAGTTTCGCTCATAAGATTATTAGATGAATTTAAATTAATTTTAAAATGATATTATTTTAGTGATTATTTTTTTAATTTAAATAATTTTTTTTTAAATATTGGTATTGATTTAATCTATGGGCATGTATTTGGCTTGGTCAATTGAATACCAAATTTGCTTGTCATATTATCCAAGTTTAATTAAATTATTATTTAAAGCAATTTAAAAAAAGTACTTAAGTCGAGTTAAGAGTTAAGCTTTGAATATATGTATTATTGAATTAAACAGGGTTTAATTATTAAAAAAAAATATTAAAATTGTTTTAACAACTCGTCCAAAATCAATGAATGTTTGTAACATGTGGTTTGCATAAATTGAATCATGTTATAGATCGTCAAATTAAAATCTGAACGGTAGAAATTACTAGATAGTGGTTTCCAATTGCATTAAAAACTCATTACATAAAGCGATGAACAAAAATCTAGAAGGAGACAACATTTCTACACACTGTCGCATTCCCATAACTAATACAATATTCAGTAGTCCCTTGAGGCTCTTCATTTGTAGCTTAATTAATTATTCTGAGAGATCCGGCTGATATGGAGAATACAGAAAATTCAATCAGTTTTTTCCACTGATAAGCCCTCAAGATGATTTGATTTTCTTTGTTGATAAGAAAATTTAAAATTGCATTTTTTTGGCATGATTTTGGTGTGAATTTCAAAGTCATTAATCCATACTAGCAGATGTTTAGGGGGAAAATAATTTAATCCAAACTGGTAGATATTTGGCCAACATAATGTAATTTTTCAAATTAAATTGGAACTCAATTTAATCAAAATGAGCATCCACTATCATATATATATATATATATATATATCAATCCCATCTATCCCTGAAAAAAGGCCTCCTTTTCATCCTCATTTTCTGAATTTGACAGTACAAGTCCATAATCAAGAAGTCCTAATGTGTTCATGCATCAACAATATCCCCGGCCTCAGCAGCAGCAAGCACAAGCTCTGGCTGTAGACTGAGTGTCCCGTCTATAGCATTTGGCTGCCCCAAAGCCTTCAAAGCCAAGTGTGCGGCCTTCTGCCCTGAGATCATCATTGCCCCAAATGTTGGACCCTGCAAAAATTAAGTTAATAATCAGGACTCTTCGATAAAACAGTACGTTTTGCACATGAACTTCATATATATCGTTATAGAGATTTTACCATTCTTGGTGCTCCATCAATTTCTGCAACTTCCATGCCTGTAACAATCATACCAGGCACAATCTCTCTTGTAAGCCTAACAATTGCATCTTCAGCAGCGTTCATGTCGAGTGCTTTCATTCCAGGAACACTATCAATCATGCCAATACTCTTCAATCTCTTAACACCAGTAGCTCCAAAAGGCCCGTCATGTCCACATGAACTAACTACAACCTTAGCCTCCATAACATTAGGGTCCATGCAAGATTGAGTGTCATGGTTCATAGACACTAAAGCCCAGTTAGTAACCACACCAGAAACTCTCCCTCCTTTCACTATTAAATCCTCTGCTGCCACAGCATTGAACAACTTCACATTAGGCCTAGCCAAGAGTTTGCTCATGATTGTTGAAGTGAACAAAGCTGCATGCTTGATAACCACATAGTTATCTGCCTCATCATATTCAATTTCAAGCTCATCAAGAAATCTATGAGCTGGTTTACGAACAATCATAGCCGAAAACAACTGGCCACCAAGCCATGCACCACCTCCAGGGCTAACTGATTGCTCAATTATAGCAACACGAACTGAAGGGTTCTTGCTTAGCTCATAAGCACAAGAAAGACCAGCGGAGCCAGCACCAACAATGACAACGTCAGTGTCTGCATAAGTAACCATGTCTGTCATGTAACGACGGGTCATTTCACGAGAGACGATGGATTCTTTGATGGGCTGGAACTTAAAGGACTGAAAATCACATGAAGGTTGTGTTAAGGACATGGAAATGGCAGGAGAGGTGGATTTTATGGGAGTGAAACGTGTAGTAGTGGTGATAGGTGTGCCATGGAAGGATGATTTGGTGTCCAAGAAAGAGGACTTGAGGTTTGCAGATAGATAGAGGGTAAGGGTAGTGGCCATGGCTGTAATTCAAGAAGTTCTTGATAAGGTTTTGTTAAAGGGTTTTTGTCAATGTAAATGAAATTGGAGAAAGCTAGAGAAGAGGCTTGAGACATGCGAGTCTAGATTATTGGTATTTAAGGATGTGTAGCAAGTGGTGGGATGTGAAAATATCTGAAATAAAAATCTGCAAGTTAGAATGATGGGTCATGCGATAGATAGCTAGATAGAACTTGGACGGCTCATAATGCTTGGAGCCTTGCTTTCTGGATATAAAGACTGTACCAAAAGCAACATAATTGACAACTTTCCTGCAATAAGGTCTGTGAGAGATTTTTGTTTTGCCTAATTCATCGATTTTTTTGTATAAATCTATAGCAGTCCCATAATTGATACAGGATTACTTTAGCACTAGTCCATATTGGTTGATTTGTATCAACACAATTTTGATACATTTTATTGCGATTCAAGATATATTTACATTAAAAAATTAATTCAATTTAAAAATTTAAATTGGTAATGTCTATTTATTTTTAATAAAAAAATTAATTAATAAAAAATATTTTTTAATAAAAAAATTTGACTTGATTTTCAAAAAAATAAATTTTTTTTATTTGAGGTGGAAAAACTTTCTAGAAAATATATAAAATTTAAAAATATCATATTATTTACTAATCATATTAATAGAAAATATATAAAATTTAAAAATATCATATTATTTAATTTTTTTTATTTGAGGTGGAAAAACTTTCTTTTTTATCGAAGCTGCTCGAAGTTTTTTTAATAAAAAAATTTGACTTGATTTTCAAAAAAATAAATTTTTTTTATTTGAGGTGGAAAAACTTTCTAGAAAATATATAAAATTTAAAAATATCATATTATTTACTAATCATATTAAATTTGGTATTTAAATTTTTGATTGCTATATATTTTATTTTGAATTTTTTTTTATTTCATCCCTTAGAATTAGATTTAATTTGATTTTTATATCAACCTTAATCCTTATTTTTATGATTGTTATTTGCTTTTCTCCTATCATTTTTAAGTTAAAATTTTTTATTTATCGGATTTGGTCTTTATTATTTTAAATGTTATTTATTTTATTTAAAAAAATTTATGAAATTGTAATTTAATAATTTTTATATAATTTCATCATTTTTTTAATTTTTTAATTTATTATATTTAATCTCTATTATTTTGATTATTATTTATTGTATTTGAGATTATTTATGAAATTAGATAATTTTTTTATAATTTTATTTTCATTCAACTTTTTAATTTGTAAGATTTGTTCCTTATTATTTTAATAAACTTGAAAAAATAAAAAAATTATTTTTCAACTCATTTTCCATGACAACCAAACACTAGAAAATATTTTCTAATTTATTTTTTACTACACTACTAAATATCAAAAAATAATTCACTTTTTAAAAATTTATTTTCTAAGAAAATCAATGTTTTAAAAAAAAACTTTCTATTAGATAAACAGGTCTAAATATATGGATTTTTTTCTCTCTCGTCTTTTTCTCATGTGTTTTTGCTTTCCTGTTTTTCTTTTTTCTCACTTTCTTTTGTTTTTTCTTCTATGTAAGTAGATATTATTCTTTCACAAAAGTCTTGTCGATCAAATAATTTGAGTTAGCAAACCTTTGAGAAGCAAAACATAACAATCCAACATTTGTAAATGTTCATTACTCCTTGTCAAACCAAGAAATTTCAGCTACCTACACCAACATGACCGTCTTTGAGCATCGATTTTACCTTTTTACCAGTAGCGGAGGCAGGGCCCCGGCCCCTGCAGGAAATTTTTTTTCCAGCCCCTCCCTTCTAAATATTATAAAAATAATTAAAAATTTAACTTTGTTCTTCTTAATTTTTAATTTGCCCCTCTTAGCTTTTTTTTCTTGCTCCGCCCCTGCTTTTTACCTTGACATTTCTAACCTTATACCTAGTTTCTTTTCTTCAATTCATAAATGAAACACAATTTTAATAATTTACAAAAGTTATGCTCAAATTCCTACGTAAAAACCTTGAATTTTACTGCCATTGTATCATCTTGGATCTCGAAAAGGGGACACGCAATTTCTGATATACACATCAATATCCTTTTCTGCTCTTTGCATGAGCCGTCTACACACTCTTACTGTACTTGTACCTCTGGTGTTGATTCAAGTTCATATTGCATAGCCTTCTGCTTCGTTTTCCGGGAAATTCTTGATGTAGAAGATGAAGAATTAGGAGAGGAAGAACTTGTTTTCTTTTTCCTAGTTTTCGGTTTCTTGGGAACATTTGGAAGATTCGAAGGTGGAATGTCATTGAACACATTAGGCATAGTTTGATGACCCATAGATTCATCAAAATCTGTCACAAAATATTACAAAAAATCGTAATCATGTCATCATACCACGGAGATAATTAATTATGCACAAACACCTAATATATATATATATATATATAAAACCTCGCAACGTACGAGAAGGAAAAAACTAGATTTGAAAGATCTCTTCCATAGAAGATAGGCGTTCCATTTCGGAATTAGATTTGAATAACAAACGTAATAGTAGCCTCAGAACAGAAGAGTAGCCTGAAAACCTTGAATCACAAGACACAAATTCTTTGAGCTGCCCTCCAGCCGGTCCCAAATAACTCATAAAGACAACATCCCTGGTAGATTTTTTTTCTTCATTTCAAGTGGTAAGATTTGAGCCCTAGAATTATCCCAACACAACAAGAACACATATCTAACCATTTTTAAAGAAAAATAGAATACAAGTATTGGATTACTATAACTAGGTTTATAGAGATTGGTTTTTAGCTGCAAGGAGAGTGAGATGAGCACTTAATGTTGTAATGCCATAGGTTTCGAAATATTCATGCCAAATTATTTTTCTAAATAACATCAATCATTTGAAAATATGTGTTGCAGGTTCTACCAATTGGATATTTATCATCATAATTGGTATTATTAAAGAAACTAATTTAATGGTTATTTAGTGTGAATGTAGCATTACTCGAGGTGGAGTGCTATGGTTCAAATTATGTATTAAGGCCTCATATAGGAATGTTGAGAAGTATTCCAACAGAATTTCAGCTTTTAAATCCTTGATCAATGGATCATTGCCTCACTCTCAGCACTAATAGCCAGAGATTCTCAATAATATTCGCCAAGATACCCTATGATTATTATTATCACACCATATAAGCGGTTTGAGCAGCAAAATCCTATACATGGTCCACCAAAAACTGGCCTTTTCCAAGGCCATCAGTTACATAGATTACCCACATAAATATTATTATTAGCTCGCGCGTGACACAAAAGCCAACTCTACCCTCTTGGAGGCAAAGAATCTCAACAACTCACAGTGTAACTTGAAGATTAGCTTTTTGATAAACTGAGAGGGGCATTCCTATGAGTTTCTTCACACGTGAAAAGGCCCTACTTTCACTTGTCTTGTAATGCAATAGAACCCTACTTGGTATCTAAGTATTTTTCAAGGAGACATAATTTTGGTTTGGTCATAAATTCAACCTTTTCCATTACTCCAGGGGCATCCAGGGAAAACAAACCCTTGGTCTCAACCTTTTTACTGCCAAATCACCTACTATATAGTTAAGGCAATGCTTGGTTATGTGGTTTGCAAGAAAAACAACCAGGTCCTTCTAGCTAGGTTTTGGCATAACAACAGTGCTCAGCATTTATTATTATTATTATTATTATTTATTTTGTGTAGTGTCTAGATCAACTTATCAACTTATCTGAGCTCGAACCTAAAACTACAAGGAAAACAAACCCTTGGTCTCAACTTTTTTACTGCCAAATCACCTACTATATAGTTAAGTGCTCGTTAATTATTTTTTTTTTTTTAGATTAACGTGGGTGTCCGGGCCAGCTTACGCGCACCACGACTAATCCCACGGGCCCTGAAGTTAACGACCATGTAAGCCTCCAGTGGCCATCATATAAGCAACCAAGGACTCGAACCTGAGACCACAGAGAGAGCAAACCCCTTAGTCCCAAGTCTTTACCACTTGGCTACCACCTAGATGGTTATGCTCGTTAATTATTTATTCTATATGTGGTGGCTAAATCACAGTTATCTTACCACTACACAAAAACTAAGGTGTTTGATAGTAATTTATTTAGTCTAGTCTTTTTCCACAAAAAAATATATTGCTACACAACAATAACAAAAGAAAAATCATGTCACAGAAAAGAAAAATAATTGACAAGGTTTTCAAAAAACAACAATGACAATACCTTGAGAGGACCATGGGGAGAAAGTAACAGAATTAGAATCTCTTGGATTAGCAACAGTGGTTGTTGAGAAGTCAGGTGTCTTGAATTCACTCATCTGCAATATTGTCCCACAAGAATTTCATTAACTTATCGTTATAAAAATTGCATGATGAATCATGGCAAACACACTTTTGGTGCGAAAAATGGTCAATAGAGATTTCCTTTTTCTAGTGCTAGAGGAAGTTCAGAGGATTTATGAGACAATGGTAGGCCAGAATTGTAGATAGTACTACTACATACCCAAGTGGGTGCATTGCCAGAAGGGCCATCCCAACCTATATGCGCCACATGCGTGACATCTGTTGGATACCCAATTTCCATCTCTCGTTCCTTCACCACTGCAAGAAATTGAACACACCAAACAAGCAACAATTTTAGGCATGTTGATTTGGAAACCAGATATTATATATAAATACATTGTCAACAAAAGAAAGGTAGGCTTACCAAAGATTTGCGAGATGTACTTAAACCCCTTACAGAGCCCTTTGATTTTCGTTGCCATGGAGAAAATTAGAAGCTAGCCAAATGGAATAGTCCTTCAATGAAATATTGATTCAAAACAGAAGGAAACAGCGCCACCAAACGAACGTGGATGCTTCTAATTTTGCCTGCTAGAAAACAAAGATGTACTTGGGACATTTGAGATTATGCAATCCACACAAAAATATATATTACAGCAGACCATGTCAAGGGACGGGGAAAAACCAGACAAAAACGTGTAGCAGCTTATGCATGTGATTTACAAACTATTAACCCGTGAAAGAAGATTGGAATCTTTGAATGAAAAATACATTGCCTTGATGTGAAGGCAAGGAAAGAAAGAAAGAAAACTATAGTAACTTTACCTCAAATAATTGATGGCCAGGTATAGCGGTACAAAGAAGTGAAAGATTCAAAAGAGAAACAACCTCTTCTCTCTTTCTTCCTCCAAGCAACAATATTGCTCCATATATCTATCACTATACTTTTGATGAATATAAAAAGAACATACATGAACTCTAAATGTAAAACTATCATGAGATAGCTTGCTAATATCAAAGAGAATCCATCAAAGCCAAAGAACTTGAACTAAAGGAAAGAGAGAAAATATCGTGTGGGTGTAAAGAGTCAAGAATATAGCAAGCTAGAAAAGAAATAAATTAAAGAAGGTGGAACTAAAACAAGCCCACAAAGGTTTTGAAAGACGAAGGGCAAAGAAAGAAAGAAGAGATGACGATAAAAGTTGGATGGTGGTTTTGTTGTTTTTGGTTTGGCTAATAATGAAAAGTTCCTGCAAATATTTTGTGACAAAAATGTGAGCGCAGGAAGAATTTGCTTTGTTGTTCAACGAGCAAAGCGCGGGTCTCAAGCCCTTTAACCTGTCTTTTCAAAGCTTCTTCTCTAAAAAAACATTGCTAGGGCTCTCTCAAAATGCGGGCAAATTTTCAGAGGCGATTAAAGAGAGTAAATTTATGTTTTTGCAGTGTTGACTTGTAAAAGAGAAACTCTGCCTCGTAAATTGAATTTTATCTTCCAAGAGCTATCTGTCATGATCTAGAAGGATTTGCCCAATATAGAGAAAATCTTGATATAATGTATCTCTCTAACTCCACATATCTCATTTTCACTTCACATCATTAAATTATTTGGATTTTCTATTATAAGAATATTTTAAATTTAAAAAAAAACAATTTGTTATAATTGTAATTTTTTTAATTTTATCTTTTAATATTAAATTTTTTTAATTAAATTTTATGAATTTTTTAAATGGAATGTTTCAAGTTTAATAAATCGCATCATGAATTTAAAAAAACTAATACATTTTTTATAAAAAGCTTTATAATATTTTTTTAATCAAATTATTTCAATCATATAATTTACATTTTCATGCTTAAAAAATATTTTGTGCTGGCTTACTTCTAATTAATATTTTTACATTTTCATCATAAAATAAAACGGTTTCTTATATATTTTTTCTACTATTTTCATAACTAAACATTTTTTTTTCAAAAATTTGTCTAATACTGTGACGAAATGCGGTATCGAGGCTAGTACATAATTCTATATGTGAGATACAAGTACTTCTTATCTCTTTGTATCCTTTTCCCATTCCAAATGTGAGCATAAGTCGATGATAAATTAATTGATCAGACGTGACCCCCACCAATTGCCCACAATAAAATAACTTCACAAGTTAAATTTACTTCTCCCGTGTAATTAGTGTGTGTATGATAATGATGCATATAATGGTGTTTTTGTAAAAATATTTCTAAATTAAAAATGCTTTTTATTTTTAATAATAGAACATCAAAATTGATAAAAAAAAAATATTTTAAAAAATCAACTTAATATATTTTCAAATAAAAAATATTTTAAAGAATAAATTGAACTACAAAATAGAAACACAACATTGTCATGAAATATACTTTTATATTCCTGAGATGCAAATTTCATTTATTTACCTAGTAAATTTGATAGGATTCCCATGATACAACAGTGCAAATAATGAAAACTACAATTTTTATGTATCACCATATCCATTAATTAAATCGTTGAAAAATCTCTCCATAAAAATTTCATAAATTCTAGTCGTTTTCGCGACCATCTCTAGCTCTTAAAGAAGCCAGCCAATCTACACATGTACTTATTATTATTATTAGTATTTATTATTAGTAGTATTATGAGATAGGTAGTCTATGTTATGAAGTGGTTTAGACCAATTTTTTTCAAAGACTAATTTTTTTTAAATGATGATAATATAAGATAACTCAAGTTAAATTAACTGAAATATTATCTAAGATATGAGATTGAAAGAAGTAGCATAAAGAATAACAAAAAAAATTGTAAAGTTTAAGGCCTAATAATCTAATATCAAAGATGAAAACAAAAAAAAAATAAAAATATAATGTTAAAAAAGAAAAATTGAGTAAACTCGGGGTAACTTGATGAACACACAGCCTATGATATGAGATAAAAAAAAATCAAAAGAAGGACCTAGTAAAAAAAACTAAAGTTTGAAAAAAAAAAAAAACATAAAAAACCATGAGCCAACTTGGGTTAACTTTACCAACTTACTCTCAAAATAATCAAAAAGAAAGAAAAGTGAAAAAATAACAAAACTTAAGGACAAATAGTTTAATGCAAAATGAAGAAATTGAAAACAAAAAGTCATAAAAAAATCAAGAAAATTTTTTTTGACTTAACCCGAGTTAACTTGACTAACCCGTCATCCAAGACATAAGATCTAAGTAAAAAAAAATTACATTTTCAAAAGAAGAACCTAAAAAAAAGACCCAAGTTAAATAAAAAACCATTATGAATGAAATTGCAAGCTAACCTAGGTTAACTTGACCAACCTGTTCTTGAAATAATAAAATAGAAAAAAAAATGAAAAAATAACAAAGTTCACTAGCAAATGATTTAATGCAAAATGATAAAATTGAAAAAAAAAATAAGTCATAAAAAAATGAGGAAAAAAAACTGAGTCAACCTAGGTTAACTTGACTAATAAGGGATAAAATTGAAAGACAAATTAATTCAATAAAAAATTCAAAACCAAATATATTACAATTAAAAAAATAAGGATCAAATTTAATATAAAAATCAAATGTAAATGGATGAAGTTGAAAAGAAAATTAATTTAATAAACGATTAAGGACCAAATGCATTACAATTAAAAGAAAGAGGATCAATTCTAATATAAAAATTAATTGTCAAAGGATAAAATTAAAAAATAAATTCAACTAAATAAATAATTTAAGACCAAATACATTGCAATCAAAAGAATAAGGATATAATTTAACATGAAACAAATAATTAGAGTTTTTTTTTTTTTTTGTAATGATCATCATTTTTTTTAGGAGGAGAGAGAGAAAAGATAGAGGAAGGAAAAACCTTTGGCCAGAGCTCCGCCACATATCTGATGCGAACAGGGCGAAGAGGTGCATCGAATGTTCTCCTGTAAGGTTGTGTTTGATGTTGGTTTTACAATGCACGCGTCACCTGAAAAGTGCAGACAACACCAATTTGCTGATGCATGCTAATTTGAATTAAAATAATAATTTTTATATATTAAAAATTTCAATTACCTTTGAACCTATACGAGAATTACAAAAACAAAATAGTAAAATACCTAAATGCCTTGCATAGAAGATTGTTGGGCATTTAAGTAATTAAGTTGTACAAAAAAAATGATAAACCTAAAATATCCTTAAAACTAGGGAATGTTTTGTTCCAAGAGTCATTTAGTAAATTATACTACAGGCAATAATGTAAAAATACCGATTAACTCCTGTTTTTAATGTAATTATTAATATGTCTCATTAAAAAAACTTTCCTGCCCTTAAATTCAAGCCTGCCTATCTCAAGTAAAATTAGATATTCACGTGCAATTCTATAATAAATAGTGGTTTTTTAAAAATTATTTTTATGTTTTTTTATATTTATTTGCTATTAAAAAAATTAATCAACATAAAACACTTTTTAGTTAAAAAAAAATTAGATTATTTTTTAGAAAAGTTTTTTTTATTTTGGATAAAAAACTCTTTCTAGAAATTGTGAAAAATTTAGAAATATTATATTATTTTTTAATTATATCAAATTTGGTCCTCAAATTTTTGTTGCTATATATTTTGTTTTGAATCTTTTTTTTCTTCAATTTCATCTCTTAGAATATGATTTAATTTAATTTTTATGTTAACTTTGATTCTTATTTTTATGATTGATATTTTCTTTTCTTTTATCATTTTTTTAATTGAAATTTTTTATTTATCAAATTTGATTCTCATTTTTTTGATTGTTATTTATTTAATTTAAAATAATTTATGAAATTATAATAATTATTATTTTGATTTCATCATCTTTTAATTTTTTTATTTGTTAGATTTTATCTTAATTATTTTAATTATTATTTATTTTATTTGGGATAATTTATGAATTATAATTTTTTTAATTTTATTTTTATTCAACTTTTTAATTTGTATGATTTGTTTCTCTTATTTTAATAAACTTAAAAAAAATCAATAAGTTATTTTTTAGTTCATTTTTCATAACATAACAAATACTAGAAAATATTTTTTAATTTATTTTTTATAATATTATCTAATATCAAAAAATAATTTACTTTTCAAAAATATACTTTCTAAAAAATTTATTTTTTAAAAATAAAAATATTTTTCAACAAATACAAACAAATGGGCTTAATCTTTTTTAATATACAGTGTAATATAATATGGTCGTTGTTGGTGTTCAACTTATTTTATTTGTATATCATAAATATGGCAACAGGTGAAATCATTGCTATCCTACCAAATCCTACAAATGTGTTAAGCCTAATATTTTAATAACAAAATAGCGAGCTTGCATTTGTTTGTCTCTCCTTTGAATTTTCATTTAATTCCTTAAACCACTTACTTAACTTCTTGGCCCCTTCATTTTTTTCATTATATTCCTATAATCATTTTGATTCTTCGATATGGGAAACTCTCACGATCTCATATACGAATTCTTAGTATACTGATAATTTTTATAGTTATAATTATAAAAAATAATTTCAAAAATATATAAATTATATTTTTTAATTAAAATTTTTTTTTAAAAAAATTAAAATTATAATCTATATTAATTAACCAAATACCTTTAAATTGATAATCGAGATAAAGCATAAATTGCGTCATACCACATCATACTTTATTATGAGCCATAAAGTTCTTTACGTGAGACTAATTAATATTTTATTTTGTAAAAGTTTTTTATTTATTTTAAAAATATTTAAAAAAAATTTTAAAATTTTATATTTTTTTCTTTGCTTCAATTTTTTTATATATTTTAAAATTATTTTGATATATTGATATTAAAAATAAATTTTTAAAAAATAAATAAAATATTATTTCAATATATTTTTAAACTCAAAACATTTTAAAAAATAACCACAATATAAAATAAACTCTAAATCTTTTTATTATCTAAAAATTTTGCTTAAGAAAACAAGGATATAAAACTACCTGACAGTATAAGAAGTCAAATATTAGAACATGATTCGTTTTATTAGGTATAAGTACATAACGGGAATGTATCTCCATAACTGTCTTTCGTGCCCCCCACATCGATAATCCCGCGCTGTCTTAAATCTGATTTGGTACATTGTGTGATTTTTGTTGAAGGTCAGAATTCATTATAAGTTCTTATATATATATATATATATATATATGATTTATTATATCTGCAACTACTGTAGTGATATCTTCTTGTAATCTACTATATATCATTGCTGAAATCCCTATGCTTTTCTGGCAAATCCCATCAAAGATTTAGGTGTTTTGATGACATGCTAGGTATTTGTCTATGGTTGGGGCCACGTTCGAGTGGCAGCTGTTTCATTGAAGGAAACATAATCTTAAAAATCAATTTGATATCAATTATTTTTCAAGGTGATTTGGATATAAATTTATGGATATTTTTATCAATAATTAATTTATCAATTATTTTTCAACTATTTTATCATGAAAATTTTTTAGTCAAGTTGATATTTAACATTCTCTTCAATGTGATTTGGATAGAAATTTATGGGTTGTAATATAGTACCAGTTCGGGGATGATTAGAGTAATTGTCCTGGTGATGAAGGAGCAAGATCAAGAGTAGTCAAGGCTTTGTTTATTTTCATGAAATAAAACATTAATTTTCAATATCTTCTATTTTTCTTAGTTCTAAAATCATGTTTCAAAGAAAATTGTTTTATAGTTCATGTTTCCCTTCAAATTATTAGGAGAAAATTAAGGTTCACAATGTGTATGATATACATGCATTTCCTATTTTCGAGGAAAATAAAAGAACATTATATGTTGGGATCGATTTCTTTTACATCTGATAATTGAAGTGCAGCAAATTCTACTAGATTTTAAAATCGTAACCAACGATGGGAGGGATGAACTAGAACGAATAGTATTTTCTATTAATAGGAAGTCAATGATTTGCTTTTATTTTATTTTCTATTTTTTTTAGATTCGGATGAAAAATGATTTAATGGACAATCAAGATACAATGGTTCTCAATCCAAATATAAATGTATGATCGCTAGGGATCTTGAGTTAACGGGTTCTACTATATGATTTGACTTTTATAAGCGATTATCTATTC